AACTGCAACATCTCTGCTTTGATTTTCTGGAGGAATCGAGACTGGTGGTAATTTTTTGGCGGAATTATTCGCTTCGGGCGACGGACACTTCTAAAATAGGTTTCCGGCCTTGTCTTTCTTTTAGCAGTTGAACACCAACATAGCGCTAACTCGCCGAAAACGCTTCAAAATGGCCTGAGACGCTAGGAATCAACAAAGAAAACAACAAGGCAATAAGGTAAGCCCATTTTATTTCAAAACAAGACATTTTTTTTCTCTCTTTTAAGGCAAACCGATAACATCCCATACAAACCTTTATAAATATAAAACGTTGCGCAACACGGTAAGAGTCACGTCCGCTTTTCTAGCAGTGAGCTTGGGCTGCCTGTGGCCTAGTTAACTACTAAACCCACTGCCTCGATTTTATGTTGAATGGAAACACATTTATGTACTAAAAATAGTGATTATAAAAAGAGAGGTATCGTTTGAAATCGCCGAACATCTCGATTTAATATGGAACTTTTAAACAAAATCGAGGCTCTGTTTCAGTCCACGGAGGTAGAATAACTTCTTATGGCTACAAGGGCATATTATATCACTGATTTTGTTCAAAAGCCCAGTAAATGCCAATTTAAATGAAAGAAGTGGCACAAAAGTTGTAACTACGGATTGAAGATATAACTACAAATTCTGATTTTTAACTTCCGATCCAGAGATGTTTCTTCGGATCCAAACTTATGACTAAGAATCCGGAGCTATTATCACAAATTTTGGAAACGTGACTGCGTAATAACAGTTGTAACTTGGGCCTTGGATAACCTCTGTCGGGGATTTTCGCCGACAAAGGCAAACAGAGAACTCTGTTTCTACAAAATATAGTCAATGTGGAGGTCCTTTACGAGCTCGCATACAGCACACCCTTTTGCGAGCTACTTGATGGAAACGAGATATCAGCCATATTGATTACACTGTACATGGTGGAGAACATATTAACCAATTTCCAATTCAAAGTGTAAAACATCAAATAAAAAAGAAGAGAAAACTCATTAGTAAATGAGAGAAGACAAATAGATAGCGGTGAAACAGTTTATAAATAAAAGAAACAGCATAATAAGACAATACGCAAAAATTACACGAGGAAGCAGGCAAAGGTTCTAATTTGGATGAAAAATTTAAAGGAAGAGAAAGACTAACGTTTTACAAGAGAGCAAGTGTCAACAGTTGTCTTCTAAATTAAAAGAATCTGGAAAAGTAGCTCCTCAGTCGCCTGGTTAGCTCAATTGGGAGAGCGCCGGACTGCTGTGCGGGAGGTCGAGAGTTCAATACCAGCCGGACCGACACTCAGGGTCTTAAAATTAATTGAGAAGAATATGCATCCTTTCTTTAACATCAAGAAATGGTTAGATATTCTAGTCTTGTAGGATAGAGACGAATAAATGGAGGTCCCGTCTCCTGCACGGTTGGGGTAGGAGACGTTAATTTCCCATGCACGTGATTACTGTGTGATGGATGTCCTCCCTGGGGTGAGTTGGGTGGGTAGGTGAAATCGCTACGGACTAAACACGGCTGCCAGAGGCGCCTGTCTGATTTCAACCTCAAAAATTGTAACTAAACACGTATGTTGTTTAGAGAAATAGAGACCTTTACCTTTTACCTTTTTGTCAGATGATAGCCCCTAGTAATTATCTGTTAGTCTCCCTAACTCTAAAACATCAAGAGAGGAAGTTTGACGATCAAAAGTATACAGTCAGCATGAAGTTCAAGAGACCGTTACTCACCAATTATTTCTTCTGTTCCAAGTTCGGATTCTGTACCATGTGTTTCTAAACCGCTGTCAGTCGCATCAGTTGTTATGCTGCGCGTCTCTTGGCAATCCGCTAGATACTTTTGAACAAAGACAAACTTTTCTGGATCCATTGATTTCGGCTTGCATCGCGTAATTAATTTTGGCAGGTTTGATCCTTTACCTGTCCTCTTTTGTGGGACCTTTAAGCCCGCTGAAAAACAAGAAGTTGCCCATTAGCTTGTAAGAGAATACTTAAAGAGCAATTACAACTTGGACGTTAAGAACAGTTTTTCAAAGAGTGAAAACAAGACATTTTATCAAAAGACAAAGTTTCTTTGAAATATATACATAGAGGCCAAAACGTTCAGTACAATGAATTATGATCTTACCCTCCCATTTATCATGTGATTTTGCGATGACACTTTCCTTTTCCAGACTAAATCCCAAATTCTCGCCTTTTTCTTCTAGAGCTACGATTCTTTCTTGGAGATGTAGTAAATCACGTTCAAGTCTCAACAATGGCAGCTCTTCCTTTGCGTTTAAATGCACAGCAGAATCAGAGTTTCGTCTTCTTACTTTTTCATCACAGTCAATCGTTGCATCATCCAAAATAGCACCAAATAGAAACCCAATAATAAGAAAAGTCAATAATAATAATAATAATAATAGTAATAATAATAGTAATAATAATAATAATAAAACCCGTATAATGGCCTAGATCTTTACCCTACAGATAAATACTTAACCAATAGAAAGTAGCCAGAGCTAAAAAACAAATCATTGAAAAAGGGTCACTATCCGAACAATAATTCTATAGGTTCGAACCTTCCGGCTGTTTATGTTACTGCGTCTCACAATTAATGAGCATTTGAGGATTTTGCGACACAAAGGATTTTTGGCACTAGTCATCCTTTTTCTGATCATCATTTGATAGTCTAGATAACATCAAAAAATGGTTAGATATTCTAGTCTTCTCGGGTAGGGACGAATAAATGGAGGTCCCGTCTCCTGCAGGGTTGGGGTAGGAGATGTTAAATTCCCACACACGACATTACTGTGTGATGAATATCCTCCCCTGGGTGGGATGGGTGGGAAGGTGAGATCGATGAACTGAGGCGGCTGCCAGAGGCGCCTGATAATATCCTCACTGTTCTCAACCTTAAAAACTGCACCCGTAATTCAGCCTCAGGCTGCAAGTGGTCAGATATAAACTATATTAAACTATTCTTAGACGAACGAGAAGCAGAGTCAAAGGAAAGTCTGAGAGCGCCCTACGAAAATCAATGTACAACTTGAAAAGAAGACACGAATAGGCTGAGTTTCCTTAAGCAGTCTTTCAATGTGACGAAATAAAGGATGAAAAGACCACTGGGCGAGTCAGGTTAGTACATGAAATGTTCATATTCTCTTGTCTGGGGTGAGGAAAGGCACTAGTCAGCGTAAGCTAATCTTATATTTGTATTTTAAAACTCCTAGAAAACATCCGCCAGAAGTTTTGTGCAAAAGAATGCCTTGCTTCTGGGGAAGTGCCACTCATCATAGATCGGGCATTCGACTAATTCTCTTCGGTGAAACTGTGCTCTAAAATCACTTTTATGTTATCTCATTGGATGTAAAGCGAAAACCCTTATAGGTGGAGTAGCCATCAAAGTGAACCAATCATAACTTCAAAACCCAACCCCTTCACTTTTTATAATGACTACAAAAATAAAAAGATAATGACCCCAATGAAGCCTCATATTTCATCTGACACCTTTAGTCCAAGCAGAAGCATACAACGTAGGTTATATGCTTCTGGTGCGAGGTCGGGGTCCTTTGCGGTTACAAAAAATATACAGCTGTTTGCAGAAAGGTTGTTGTCCATGCAGCAACCTCGAAAGGTAGTCTGCGTAAAAGATAATCACTGAATTTTAATAAGAGAAACACACACCTGCGGACAAATGATATTATGAACAGGGGAAAATCCGGACTCAGAATATCTTTTAAATTGGGTCAAACATAGTAGCGGTGGGTTACCTTGGGCCCTTGGCATGAGCTCCAGACAGGCTTTCTGATATTCCTCTCCCTTGATAGTGACATTCACCTCCACATCCTCTCCATCGGCAAGTTCCCTCACCTCATCAGTGACAAAGAAATCGTACAGGCGTTTCTGAAGGGTTCCATCCTGGTACAACTTCCACAAAGTTTTAAGAGCTGATAACCTTTCAGCTTGTACTGTGAGGCAAACACAGCCATCGGTGATTTGAACTAGCCTTGTACCAGCTGGAAGCACACAGGTTTGTACGGCAGCAACCAGTTGATCAAACGAGGACCAACGACTCATCACCTCCATAGCAGAAACGACTGTAAGGCTGCCCGCAACCACTTTGAACACTGTTTTTATGTTCACCACTGAAAAATCAAGAAAGTCATAAGAAGAAAATCATGAGTAGTGATTTAGTTATTTTAAGTAATTTAGTTCTTTTCAGCAAAAACCCATCCTACAAGGAACGGTATACTTGTGTCGAGTAATGAATTCTTTCCAAAAAGTTGACTTTTGAAAAAACGATGTATGGAGCACAGGCTCTCCGTCGAAAATGAGGGCTTTTTACTTTAGGCATCAGTCTCCTTCCTTAATGGCTCTTCATGTTATGTTGTAAATAAATATGTAAATATAGTTTATATCTGACCACTTGCAGCCCAGAGGCTGAATTATGGGTGCAGTGTAAGGTTGACAACAGACATCAGCATATCAGGTGCCTCTGGCAGCCGCTTCAGTCTATCGATCTCACCTTCCCACCCATCCCACCCCAGGGGAGGCGTGATTACTGTGTGATGGATGTCCTCCCTGGGGTGGGTTGAGTGGGTAGGTGAAATCGCTATGGACTAAACACGGCTGCCAGAGGCGCCTGTCTGATTTCAACCTCAAAAATTGTAACTAAACACGTATGTTGTTTAGAGAAATAGAGACCTTTACCATTACCTTTACCTTTTTGCCACAACCGACGCCACACCAAGGGACGCTGAAAATATCAAAAAAAAGATATGCTGCATTTTTAACGCTAACGGACTCTACATCACCATAGAAGCTAACAAACAAGTAATCAACTTCCTGGACGTCACATTTAACCTCACCCAAAACACTTACCAGCCATATACCAAACCCAATACCACACTACAATACGTCCACCGCGAAAGCAACCATCCACCGTCCACCGCGAAAAACATCCCCGCCGGCATCAACAGACGCCTATCATCCCTCTCATCCGACAAAACCTTCTTCGACCAAGCCGCTTCCGCCTACCAGAAAGCATTAAACACCAGTGGTTACAGCTACACACTCCACTACGAACCAACGCACACATAAATACTGAAAAAAAACAGAAAACTAAATACCTCTCTTTGCTTCGGATTCATCCTCCTGATCTCTTCGTTCTTCAAACTCTTCCACTTCCCTTAAAAGATCGGTCTTTCCCATTTCTGCCAGAATGACCTGAGTGTTGGTCCAGCCGGGGCTCGAACCCCCGACCTCCCGCACAACTGTCCAGCGCTCTATCCATTGAGCTAACTGGGAGGTGGTTCCAGGGACATCCTACATCAACCTTTAAAAACCCAGAAGCACAACAACAAAAAAGCTTTTGAAATACCCACCTCCCATTAGTGTGCTTGTCACAGATGACATAATTGCAGCTCTTTGATCTAAGATAAAGGAACAGTAAATGTTAGTCAAAAGAGTACAATTCAAACCTTCTTTCCTACCATAAAAGCTGTCTACAGATTTTGTTCCAGATTTTGACCCATTTATTCAGTCTTTTCACTGTTTTACATAGTCACTTCTTTCCCCTTTTTCACATTATGACGTACACTACAATAACATATACTAAAGAAAATAGCATACAAAAATAAAGAAAAAACGTAAAATAGAGAAAAAAAGGAATCACACAAATAATAAAAAGGAGGGGGCGGCAGCAAAAGATTTAAAAGGGACAAATTAGGAACACTTGTGTCAAATTATACTTTGTTCAAAGAGAACAACAATGATAGTGTTAATCAAGATAATGACATCAAATAAAAATTATACTGGTACAGTAAGGATGGAAAAATTCTCTAACATTTATTCTGAAAGACTGGAATTCAGGTGTTGTAAGGAGATACCTTGGGTAACTTGGTTATGTTGCTTGAAAAAAGCGGTTAAGTTAAGATTTGATTGGTTTGTTTTCACAACACAGTCCCACAATAATTGGCAGGTTTATAACCTTACAATTTCAGGAACAGCCACAATTTAGATATTGGAGAGCAACAAAGCAGCATGTTTTGGCCCAGTCTACGTTCATTGAGATGTGTAACGATTAAAGGCTCCCTTCCGCTCTTATTTGAATCAAGAGTCAAGGTTGGGATATGCTACTTTGTCCGAGAATTCAACAATGACAATATAGAATTCAACAATGACATATAGTGTAAAATAAGCTTTTGTTAGCGTTACTTTTGATATCTAAACCTCTTCCTAACCACTCTAGCATGTCATGCAACGCTTCTCTCATCAAATTTTGGTTGGGTTTTCTAAGCAAGGGAAATGATTAGGGTTAGGGAAAGGGTTTTTCATTCACAATATTATTTCCACTTATTTCAAATAAACGAATTCATCCAAATTTAAAGAAATCGCCATTTGTCTATTGAACTCTGACTATGAGTTGTAGATGGCAGGTGCAAGGAAGCTATCATTCATCGATTTTAGCTAACTCAATCCAAAATACCTGATAAGTTATTAAAAGTAATTTGTACAAACATGAGATCTAAGTGGATGAAACAAGTCAGACTCCTAGACTGATAGATATGTCAACAAAAAAAATAGTCTCTCAATTGCTTAGGGTTAGGGTTACTTCAGTTAGTGCCCAAAAATCGAAGTAGAGAGTGCTGTAAAAGTTATATTTCCTCTCTAGGTCTCGCCTGATGTAGCCTTATAGTTCACCACTAAATTTTCTCTGATTCTTATTGGTTTAAATTGATCACGTGACGCGATAGTGTTCATCCGTGTAGAGACACTATCATCCCATAATGCCCGTACACGGAAAATGCTCGAATGGATTGTGCCCGTCTGCGGAAAATACCCGGATGGATAGTGCCCGTCCGCGGAAAATACCCGGATGGATAGTGCCCATCCGCAGAAAATACACGGATGGATAGTACTCATCCGTGAAAAATTTTGAATGGTTTGACGGCCGCTAAGTTAGGCAGATTGGAAAAAAGTGACCTTTCAATTCTGACAGGTATAACGTATTATTTAGCTAATGTACAGTTGCGAATCATTGACATTTGTGACAGGCTATTTGCATGAATAAATATTTCATTGATCTGGTGCACGGAAGAAAATGTAGTGGTGAACAATAACGACAATAGAGTGTTATGTATCGGAACTATCGGTCTGATAGTTGCCTCTTGGAAATTTGATGTTCTTAAAACTAGCGTAGTTTCCCTCGAGGCTTCGCTTCTCGGGCAAATATTTGTTTCAAGAACATCAAATTTCCACGGGGCAACTATCAGCCGATAGTTCCTCGACAGAAACACTCTATTGTTTAAATAGCTTGTAAAAGACAAAAGCAACAATAGTTAGGAGGGCTTTTCATACACTATCAGGAACATATGTAGAATCTTGCTGACCAACACCTCAAGTATGGGCTGGTTGTAGGGCAACGTTTACCTTTTTCGATTTCTATACATTACGGGTTGATAAAGACTCATTCGGCGCTTACCTCCCACTATTAAAAACTAAGGCTAACACAGACACTACATTGCATTAGAACCGCCAACCACTAGCTCAGTTTTCGATAGAAAATTCAGTCTACCGGGATTGTTTGTCAGCGACAATAGCGACCAAACAAGCCGTGCAACAACTTAAAGGAAATTAAGCTTCCTTTCAGAAAGATTTCGTGGAGGACAATTTAATTCAGAAGAATTTCACTTACGCAGAACTCAACTATGATGCTATAGTTACCTTCCGTAAGTAATGCCACTGTTTAAAAAGTGAAGAAAACAGAAAACTAAATACCTCTCTTTGCTTCGGATTCATCCTTCTGATCTCTTCGTTCTTCAAACTCTTCCACTTCCTTGAAAAGATCGGACTTTCCCGTTTCTGCCAGAATGACCTTCACAACGTCGAGGCAGTCGATTCCCAGGTTTTCGTGTTTTTCTAGCTCTTCAAACAAGGAGCGAACATCATCAATGTTGCCTTCACTCTCTTCGCGTATATTTCCTTCGCATATCGTGATCAGCCGTTCCAGATCATTGAGTTCATCGAGTGCACGAATAATCTTCTCAAGCAAGGCTTTGTATTCCTTTCGCTTACTCTCAAACTTTTTTACTTTTCCAAACAGAGACCATTCCTTAACACTTTTCAACAGCTCTTTCATTAGTTTGAGGCGATCAACACCAAGATAATCGTTTTCTTCTAATTCTTTAAACAATGCCAGTGCGTCGTGTATGTTTTCATTGCCAGAGGCTAGCTTCCCTCGGCACATAAAAACAAGACGTTGAAGTGCATTCAGCTCGTCGATCCTTTCGCTTATTTCAAAGAGCAAATGATTGTATTCTGTGGTGGACATTTTCAATGAATGCCAGATCCGCTTCTCTCTTTATTTTCAAGAAGACTTTGTTACTAACGGTTCCAGGCATTCGAAACGACAAAGCGGAGACAAGGCGTTTACGTAAGAGTCAGGCAATTGAATTTCTAGGAAACTGAGTTTGCGCAACTTGTTACTCGACTTAGGGCCTGATTACATGAGCCGAGCTGGCCCGGTTAGCCGCGCTGATTTCTTTTGTTTTCACGCTTTGGCGAACACCAAAACAAAAGAAATCAGCCCGGCCAACCGGGCCAGCCCGGCTCATGTAATCAGGCCCTTAGGCTTCTCAGCCTGGGAAAGGAAGTGCACTGAGGCAGAATCTTTCTAGTCTCATTCCCATCGATTTTCGTTACTTTCGCCGAGCACTTCCCTCTAATAAACTAGTAAAGGCAGACATGAATGGCACACGTACCTTTTGTCGCCGCATATTATGACCGTGAATGCCGACGTGTCCAGGGAAGTAGAACAACTGAATTAACAAGTGGGAGAGAATATCTTAGGTAGCTCAAAGCACTTACATTATCAGGGGCGGATCCAGTAATTTTTGATTGGGGGGGGGGGTCCAAACTTTGGTTCAGAAAGGACTGTTGGACTCAATTGCTTCTCCCCCACACCCCATCCCACCAGTCGCGGTTGCACGTTAAAATTCCTTGGCCGCTTACCGTTTACTTGGATTCATTAAAAAGATCAACCAGTTAAAAAGTGATATACGACCCTGTCGATGTAAGAATTTCTGTTTCAAAGTTGTAAGCGTCAGGTCTGATAGGGGGGTCCGGACGCCCCGGACCCTCCTCCTGAATCCGCCACTGATAAAGAATAGTCGTATTAAGCGGTCACCCACAGTAAATGGCGGAGTGACTGCTTAGTACAGGTTCCAAGGATGAGGGGTCTTAAAAAAAAACCATAAAAAAAGCCACTTTATGCCATAATTGACCACCTACTGTATAGAATATCGCTCGAAAATACTACTTACTCTCATTTTGGGAGAGAAACATGGGTCACGAATTACTTGAAAAAGTATTCTTAGTTTTATTCGAGTGGTC